TCCGTACATCGCTCGCTGCTCGTCCGCAAGCCTTCGTAAGCACGAGATGCGCACGCGCCGCGCATGCGCATGCTCAGCGATCTACGCACCCTCGGGGCCGTGCGCTTTGTTCGCGCGCGTCCCGCGAAAAATCTTTTGCCGTCGCGCTTAGCCGTAAAATCGTCGTCGCGATCTTGCCGTACGCCCCGCGGGCGATGTAGCGCGCGAACGAACACTATTGTATTGTAACAGCCGCGCGTCTGGCTGTGGACGGATGAGAGGGAAGGTGAGAAGGGAGAGGCTAGGGAAAGGGCGGATGAGGAGGGGGAGAGGATGGCATCGGAGGGGAGGGGAGGGGAAATAAAGGGAAGGAAGGAGGGGGAGACGAGGTGGGGTGGAGTGACGAGGGGAGGGGAGGGGAGGGGGAGTAGAGGGGAAGGGAAGGAAGGAACAGAGAAGGGAGGTAGAGGGCGCTGGGAGAGAATAGGGTAGGAAAGAGAAAGGGCAGGGTGAGGATAAAAATGAATGTAAGGGAGCGGTTGGAAGCGGCGGGAATGCAAGGGGAAGGGATTCGTATGCCTGTCTGACGAGATTGAAGGAGGGGACTGAAATGGAATGAACAGAATTTCTGGGGGGGGGGGACGGGAAAAGACATGGCAGAGCTGTTGGTGAGTCTCCCCTTCATTCTCGATCTCTAGACGTACGAGATAGAGATAACTGTACTGTATGCAGTGATCTTTCTCCTTCTTACTTTTTCTTTCCTACTTTCTTGTCCTTATCTCCTCTATCCCCCTACTTTCATTCCCTTTCTTCGCATATTCTATTCCTTTCGTCTCCTAGTTATTCCCTACCTCCCCTCTCCTACCGTCTTGTCCCTCCCATATCCTACCATCCTGTCCCATCCCGGCCCTATCCTCTCCTCCCCTCCTTTCCCATCCACTCCGCCATCCACCCGCCTCTTCCATCAACTACCCTCCTTGTCTTCCCCTATCCTCATCTTCTCATTTCCTTCCCTTTACGTATGTCATCTTTTCCTTCTCCTCACGCATCTTCTCCTCTCCCTCTCTCTCTCTCTCTCTCTCTCTCTCTCTCTCTCGTCCTCTCCTCTTTCTCCCCTTACGCATCCGCGGCTCCTTTTTCTTCTCTCACTCAGGCTGCTCTTCTCTCTCTTCACCCTTATCGTTCAAGCGATGTTTTCTTTACGTTAAGCGCCTCATCCGTGTTTATCATCTCTTCAGTCAGACTGACGCCTATAGAGAAAAAATTGTTGGTCTTTTTTGGCTTTTCGCCAAAGAAACGCGCCATGTTCTCGTGCTAGCTGCCACTGCGCATGCGCGGCCGAGAGATTGATATAACAAATTCAGGAGTGAATAATAATACATTAATCTATGATTGTTATTCGCCCCTGACACGATGCAGTCGCAGTCGATGTCTCGTCATTCAGGTGATAAATCATCAGATAGAGATCTGACAGACCTGCATGTATACCTGACGAGCGGTTTACATAATAATACACGAATATATTATGCCGAACGTGTGCACGAGCGGCAGTTGTAAGTACATGCGTACAAACACGTGTTTTTATACCCGCAACTATACGCATACAATACTCTCATCTCGTGTTTAATAAATTAATTATTCCGCTCGCATTTTAAAGTCCGCGAGTCAGTTGCAAACAGCAGTGGGTATCAATGTAGGAACTACTCGCAACGCTCCAGCGTGTTCTCTGTTCGCATTCCTATGCATGACTTCTTAATTAGACCACTGTCAGCAAGAACAAGTCCGCACGTGCAGCTACAGCACACGCGCATCTATTGACTATATATATACAACAATATAGTATATACAAAAAAATACAATACAAAAAAACAAAAAAATAAAATACAAAAAAGTAGTATACAACAAAATAGTTGTATATATATAGTCAATAGATGCGTGTGTGCTGTAGCTGCAGATGCGGACTTGTTCTTGCTGCCAGTGAATTAGACATGCTACATGGTGTCTACGAGACGGGAGAAGTGACAGGCTATAATACTTGTTAGAGCGTCGCGTAGTCAGCCACGCATAATATAACACGTGCCGCCTGGCTAGTTGGGTAAGCTACAAGAATCGGGGGGCCGCGGTCGGTCGCATTCATTGCAATGTATTTTCTTGTACGTTGCACTTTTAGCGCTGACAAAACATTGACCTAACTGTGTATTTTAATGTAAATACAGAATGCTCGAATTTGAATTTTTGAATTTGAACTTAAGAGTTCAAACTTTTGAGCGTAACCGCCGAGCAAAGATCGACGTGTGAAATGAACTTCTCATATGTACATGATTCATGAATTGCTTCGCGATGGTTTGTTGCTGAGTCATGTTCGGATTCGGACTCGACTAAAACGGATACGCATGTCTGTTTGGCGTTCGAATAATCGTTACACACATACAGACAGGCGGGACATTGTCTATTACCGACCTTGTCTATTGCCAGTGAGTCTACCAGTAGCTAGTACCAGCACCAGTGTCAGTGTGGCTTAAGGGGTCGTTGTCGTATCAGGTACTACAGATGTGTACCCGAGGTACATATATGTATACACAAAGTGTACCAGACTTGTACTGACATAAAGTGTAACCCTGAACCCTACACTAACCCTAACCCTAAACCCAAACCCTAACCCTAACCCTATACATACCTCATATAAAAATATAAACATAATACTAAACAACCTAAAACTACTCGGGTACATACTGTAGTACCTGATACGACAACGACCCCATCTGCGTCAGTGTGTCCAGTTCGGCAGTACAATCAGTGGTAAAACACCGTTTGTATATTTTATTATATATATATATACTATATAATCGGCGATTTTAGTAATATAATGCGTAACAATGCGTATATATTAATGTTTATGTTTCAATCATAATGTTTCTGTAACTACAATGGAAACACTATAGACATACTATAGAAAATCATCTTGAAAACGAGCCCATGCATGGCGAGATCGTTCTTGCACACGCCTCAACACGGCGCGCAGTTACAGTTATCATCAAGAGTACAGGATAGGAGATATCTCCTATAATGTACTCTTGTTATCATCTTTTCTCATCTCTCGACTTTTCTTCATCTGTGTGCTCGCACTTCTTTTGTATAACGCGTGTACTTCGCGAGTTTGTCTGCAATTTGCGGTCGCGATACGCTCAGGTATGCCGTACTTTGTAGACGGCAATCATTAAAAGCTCGTCGCAGGCGGTTGAGACCGCTCCCACGCCCTGCCCGACACCGATAGACACCTGTGCTCGTTTCATATTAATGTATTCACGCGCTGCGGCGGTTGTGTTCCGCGTGCGGTCGGCCACTCGCTGAGAGGCGGTCGTATTCGTATAGATTGTTACCGGTTCGTCTCTTCTCGTCCTCTCGTCTCTCTTCGCTCTCTCTCTCCTCTTCCTTTTCTGCTCTCTCTCTCTCCGTTCGCTCTCTCTGCTTTGTCGGACTTCCTCGCTCAATATATTCATCCATCTATCCATCCATCCACCTATCCTCATCCATCCATCTGCCGTCCGTCCGTCCGTCTACCCATCACTTCATCCGTCTATCCATCCATCTAACCATCAAACCATCTAATCATCTAACCATCTATCTATCCTTCATCTATACTATATATCCATCCGTCTGTGTATCTTATCCTTTCTATCGTGCCATTCTATCTATCTATATATCTACCTATATCTCGTCTCTCCCTCCCTCCCTCTCTCTCTCCCTCTATTTCTCGCTCTCTCTCGCTCACTTTTCTCTCCCCTTCTCTCTCTCCCGCGCGCGCTCTCTCTCTTCTTTACGTCGCCGCCGCGAATAAAAAGAATAAAAACGTTTCGCAAACAGACGGCTGGCTAGTTTAAGCGCGCAGTGTAAACATTGCATCCGTGGTATTCTGCTAATCCTCGCCTTCTCCCTCTAACTCGTTACCTGTAGTCTACGAGTACAATAGGATCGTACATCGCAGTACGTGTCAATTGTGTGCGTGTGTGTTGTGTGTGTTGTGCGCGTGTTGCTGTGTGTGTGTGTGTGTGTGTGTGTGTGTGTGTGTGTGTGTGTGTGTGTGCGTGGCGTCGTGTGTGTGTGTGTGTGGTGTGTGTGCGTGCGTGCGTGCGTGCGTGCATGCGTGTGTGGTGTGTGTGTTTGGGTGTGTGTTGTGTTGTGGGGGGGGGGGGGGTGTATGGTGTGTGTGCGTGTGTGGTGCGTGTATGGTATACTGTGTGTTTGTGTGTGTGAGTGTGTGTGTGTGTGGTGTGTTGTTGTGTGCGTGTGGCGGTGTGTGTCGCTGTTGCTGTGCTGCGTGTGTGTATGGTGTGTGTGTGTCGTGTGTGTGGCGATGTGTGTGTGTGTGTTGTTGTGTGTGTGTGTGTGTGTGTGTGTGTATGTGTTCGTGTGCGCAAGTGAGTGTACGCGCGACTAGCGACTTGTTCTAGTTCGATCTTATCAAGAGCGTATAAAGAAGGCTTCTTTATACGCTCTTGATCTTATCCTGATCTTATCAGGAGCGTATAATGACAAATTGACAATAATGACAAATATATTTGTCATTATACGCTTCTGATCTTATTGATACCCATTCTAAGCACTGATGACACTATACACACGCAATTTCCAGCACGTTGTGTACGCATCTAGATGGAAACATTGGTGCTCAGAAAAACCATGCTGCATAAGCATATGTGTGCATGGATAAAACATGCTAGTGCCACCTATCGTCTAATAAAGTAGTGGCCACCAAAAATCTCAATAGCCGCCACTAGGGCCCATGACATAAATTGACGGGGTATACGTGAAATGGAGATTAGGAATTTTGTGTTGTTCGAAAACTGAAACTTTAGTTAGAGGGTTTCTTGTATAATTAGTATACCATGAGCATAAATCCCAGCACAAATAACGAGAAATATAATTAATATTCGTTACATAGGCGCGCAAAAAATGCTCACGCACGGATGCCCGGATGCGGCTCCTTCGTTAAAACAAGTGAACATCGAAAGATATCTCACCGTCATCTCGCTGCAGAATTACCGTAGCCTTGCACAGACCCGAACCGTTTCGGTAGTTTCCGGCCACAACCCGATTGAACCCGACGTAGACTGCGTAGTCTCTCGCTCCGTACATCGTCTTCTGTCCGTCGAGCGTGTACAGAAACTTCGACTCGATCGAATCGGCCATCTTGCCCGAGCGCCAGAACACGCGCTCGTCGCTCACCTCCACCGTGAGCTTCGAATTTTTTCGCACCGCGTTATCCATGACCTTCAGCAGAAGGTCGCCGTCGACGCTGGCGCCGAGATGACCCGGAAGTCGGTTGGCGTAGATGCGCAGTTGCTTGTTGAAGATCTGCGTCTCGGCCATGTTGGACGTCGTTCCCGCGTCGCCGCCGTAGCCGTCGCCCGTCGGCGAGTCGGACACGTCGAGCGTCCACCGACGCGGTCGCTCGTACATCAACACCAGCTTGGCGGATTTGTACGGACCGGAGAAGTCTATGCGGAGGACGGCCTGCCGCGAGCAGCGCTTGCCCTGGGCGGCGCTCGGTGCGGCGACAAAGTCCACGTAGTCGCTGTAGCCCGTCACGATGCCGTCGTGCAGGTTGACGGTGACGCTGTTGCGTCGGCTGGCCGTCGTAGTCTGCGTCGCGGCGGCCGATGCGTCGGCGACGCTATCGAGCAACAGCAGCAGCCCTGCGGGAAGAGTAGCAGACGAACTTTATTATGCTATGCGTTGTTAGCGAGTGTCGTGTATAGCGGAGAATCTACTACAGAGATACTACAGAAAATTTATGATTAACAAAATTATTGAAAAAATGAGAATTAATAGAATTGCTAAATTTATATAATAAATATATGAATAATAGATATAATTAATAAAAATAACGAAAAGGAGATAGACGCGACGTTTATAAGAAGGAATATGTATACTGGAATAACTCGATATAATCGCATGATAAATTAACCTTTCAGGATGCACTTTGATACACTTTGATGCAATTCTTTTCTTTACGTTTCCTTTAGGGTTCACTTCGTTATTCCAGCATTTTAAGTGCATTCATGAGGCCGAATACTGCCCCGAGGCTAAGCACCTGCATAAATATCCTCGTTGTGACACCATGACGCGGTTTATATAAATAATTAATTCTCAAGATGCCGCTCGCGCATCGTGAATATGACGCTAGATGGCGCCAGCTGCCAGAAGCGTTAGCGATTAGCATCCGATCAGGAGTGAATCAAAACAAATGTGTTTTTATTCACGCCTGAAACGATAATAATTTACTGGCTTTAACCCGGCCTTGTTGAACGGCATAACCCACTAGATACACGCACTAGGAGCTGGGAAGCGGCCTGCGTAGCCTCGTGTAAGCGTGCGTATACGCGCGCGGCTCCGTGTGCGCGCGCGTGCATGCGCGTAGCCCTGTCCACCAGCCCGTATAGCTGCACGTATACGCGAGTAAACACGCGCGTGTTCTGCAGCTAGATCTGTAGCTAGATTGGGGATACCTTGAGTTGATACAGCCTACATTGCGTTACGGCTATATGAGCCATAATATGTCCAGCAATGCAGCAATGATCCAATAAGCCACACAATCAGGGGGGCCCCGATATTCGAAACCAAATTAGTCATAATACTAGTCCTAACATTAACAGCTTTTTATCAGAGACCGCTGACAAAAACATGGCAAATTTAAGAGTTTCTCATAACAGTTAATAGAGGCCCGGTCTGCGAGAAAAACGCTAATGTTAAGACTAATGTTGAGCTGATAGTTTCTGACAACGTGTCCCAGAGTTAGAGGATACTTTTAGACTCTAATGAGCATCCTGAGACATTTCGACGTGTTAGTAATGCAATGTCAAAAATGAATAACGGTTGTTTTCATAGCAGATGTAGAGCAACTGCAGGAGTCGTTGGTATCATGTGCGCGACATTAACAGGGAATCATGAAGTCAGCCTACACCCGGTGTATGTAGCCAAAATTATTAGGTCTATGCGCGAACGTTAATTATAGTACCAGACGCCCCCGCATCGCCGAGAACGGCGCTGGAGTAAGCTCTAATGAGTGTACACGACCACATTAATTAAGGAAATTAAAAACAATATGAACGCGATCGGAATAAAATTGCATATGATCTGATTGTGCTTAAAAATAAAACCGAATTTATCTGAGAATTAACCGTAATTATCACCGCTCGCATAAAATGAGTAAAAAAACAAGATGGCTGCCCAAAACATCCGCATTCCGTCGTCTGCCGCTGCGCGCGGCATTTCACATTCCATAACTACACCGATTGTCAGATTGTCTGATTGCCGTCTTTCTCTCTCTCTCTCTCCGTCGATCTGTCGATCGCGAGTGAGATCTTCGGCCGCAAACAGGCGTGTAGCGGGTGATCTATCGCTCCGCTGATCTGTCACGCGCGCCAGCGGGTTACACAACAGCAGTAGCAGCAGCAGCGCGCGCGTTTGTATAAAAACGGGGAGCAGCGGATCGCGTTACCATGGCACGATGACGCCGGCAGCGTGATTGACGGGCCGATAGCATCTCGCGCGGACCACACACGCGCATTGGCAGGGCTCGGTTGACAACTTTATAGTGTGCTGCTGTCAGTGAGTGAGAGAGAATGAGAGAGAACACGGTGAGGGCGGAAGGCATGGAGGAAGGAAGAAAGATGGGCAGAGCGAGGGGAAAAGAGAGGGGGAGGGAGATG